TGATGTGAAGCACGGTGGTGGCAGCATCATGATGCCTCTCAGCAGCAGCCTGGAAGGCTTGTAAAGATAGAAGGTTAAATGAATGCAGCAAAGTCTAGAGAAATCCTGGAGGACAACCTGATGCAGTCTGCAGGAGATCTGAGATGTTAACTACTAATTTTCCTGTACCTTTCTAGATTCATTTATCCCCTCACCTTTACAGCCCTTCCAGGTACTGTTGGCCAGAAGTATCCCCACGTCATGATGCTGCCACCACCGTGCTTCATCATGATGCTGCCACCACCGTGCTTCACGTCATGATGCTGCCACCACCGTGCTTCACGTCATGATGCTGCCACCACCGTGCTTCACATCATGATGCTGCCACCACCGTGCTTCATCATGATGCTGTCACCACCGTGCTTCATCATGATGCTGCCACCACCGTGCTTCACAATGGGGACGGCATGTTTGTGGTGATGTACAGTGACTGGTGTCTGCCAAACACAACGTATGGTCTGATGGCCAAGAAGCTCAGTTTTGGTTTCATGACCTAAGAGTGTCCCACAGGCCTTCTGGTAAACTCTAATGGAGATTTAATATGAGCTTTTTTCAACATTGTCTTTCTCTTTGCCGCTCTCCAATAAAGTGTTTACGGGTCAAGAACAGCCAACAGTTGTATAAACAGTTCCTTGTATGTATGTATAAAGTTTGTGCCTCCTTGAGAGAAGTCATGAGTGTCTTGGTGGCTTCCTTCACTGGTTTCTTTCTTGCTTGGTCACTCAGGTTTTGAGGAGAGAGCCGCTTTAAAGGTGATACTTATGCAATCACACATTTGAATAGTTTTTAAAGGCACTGTCCACTCAAACACAGATCACTAAAAGCTGAGGTTTTGTTACCAGTATGGATGCACTGATGCCTCCTGCAGATTCTCCAGCCACGGTGACCGACTGGGGGTCGCCGCCGAAGGCTGCGATGTTTTCCTGCACCCACCTCAGAGCCGCCAGCTGATCCAGGAAGCCCCAGTTTCCCTGAGCGTGACTGTCTCCGGTGCTTTGGAAGAGGAAGAGTCAGAACGCTGGCTTCAGGGTTAATGGGGAATCATTCTGAAGAGGAGAACAGCTCCTTACCTCAGGAACCCCAGGATGCCGAGGCGGTACTGAATGATGACCATCACCATGTTTTGGTAGGCAGCCATCGGGGCGCCGTCGAACTGAGACGCTGACCCCATCGCCAGGCCGCCTCCGTGGATCCACACCATCACCTGACAGATGTCGACATGAACAGCTTGTAAAGCAAACTTTGTGCTTNTTAAAAAAAAAAAAATGGAAAGGTAAAAACTAAACTAAATCACAACAAGAAAAACTAAATTATATTAAATTAAAGTAGCCAAGGGAAAACTGTAGATTTAATTTAGTTTAATCTAATTTAATTTAATTTAAACTACACTGAAATAAATTTAAAAAAAAGAAAAATAAATGAAGTCACAACAAGAAAAAAATCAATTAATTAAATAAAAATTAATTTAATTGAATTTGTCACAGCAAATCATTAAATTCAGGTCAATTAAATCAAACTGCAAATAAATTAAATAAACTGAATCATCAATCAATCATAACAAAAAATGTAATTCAGTTCATAAAAATCAATAAAATTGCAACAAAAATGTAAATTAATTACATTTAATTGAATCACAACATGAAACAATATGAAACATGCATTTTCATGTTTGTGTACATATTTATTTATCTGAAACTAAAACCAGTCAGTTAACAACTCAATCAGCTGGACTCACCCCTGCAGGATTGAACATGTTGACCACCGCCAGCACCGACTCCCTGCTCATCCCGTTCTCCCAGCCCGGAGGGGCGAAGCTCTGATGGAAAAAAATGACTTTAGTGTCAAACCAGAAGCCTGAGGGACAGAAGTTAATGACAGAAGTGATGCAAGCAGGTAGAAAAACCGGATGAATGAACCTGAGGCAGAATCCATCCAAACTCGTGGTTGGTGACTCCCATCATCACCGGGACCTTCAGCACCTCCTTCCTCTTCAGGAGCTCCTCGGCCGTGTCGGTCAGGAACTCTCCGTCCACCACAGCGCCCAGGAAGATCTTCATCTGAACACCACACACAAGTTATTATTGTTGTTGTTGTTGTTATGAGTGAGCATGAACAGTCTCAGGCCATGAAGGTGTTTACAGGCCAACGCTGCCATCTGGTGGCTTTAAGGCGGACTCTGAGCTCAGATGTTCTGTTTGTGGGGACGTTTCTGTAACTCTGGGATATAAAGAAATCAACACCAGCTTGTGCAATAGTATTAGATAATACAGTAGGTTCCTCATATACAACCTGATTCAATTTTATTTATTTATTTGCTAGTTTATTTAAGAGGAATTACAGAATCACCCTAAAATGTGAATATAAGACTGAAGTTAAAAAGCCATTGAGATCCTTTACATGCATGCAGGATATTAATGTTAATAAAATAAAGTTAGACGGGAACATGCACAGTGTATAAAATACACAAATCTGTAGGACACAATAGAAGTAAAACCACATGAAGACGTACATGCAGGTACACGAAGGCAGATAGCAACAGAGAAACAGCAGATAATTCAACTTTATAGTCTGGATTACAATAATTCCCAACAAGTCTCGGTTAAAACAGAGGTTCAGAAAAATGTCCCACTACAAGCTGAATCTGGATCATATCTCTTCAATTTGCATCGTTTAACTTGAATAATTGTGATAATGTTTAAAGTTTTAAATATTCAAATAAAAGTGGTTCAGATAAAAATGTAAAGTATTCTATACATTATGTATATATTTGAATATATGAGATTGAAACTGAATTCTCATAAACGTGAATTTAATGTCTTGAGAATTAATTTAGTGTAATAAGGCACACATCCAGGGCACTGAAACAGCTTATAAATTCACTTTCAAATCAAAATAGAAACTGAATCGCGTAATGTGAAATTGAATTAATTTCATTCCTTGGATGTGTGTCTGAATGTGATTCGCTGCTGGTCAGGACAGAACATTCACTTTCAAGTTTATTAGAATTCACTTTCAAATGACACAATTCAAACTCAAAGCTTTGTTGCTCTCATTCAAGACAAACACAGTAAAGTTTCTGGTGGAACATGTTTCTGCCCACATTCCTCATTCCACAGACAAACACTGAAACTGTTGTAAGTTGTTGTTAGATCTTCGACTCATATCCTAACCAGACGACTCACCTTCTTGGTTGCAGCGACGATCTGGTCTTTGCTCTTCCCCTTGATGCAGCGAACCACCTCCTCTGTGCTGCTGTGGCTGCAGTCAGTGAGGTTGGCGACAATCTGAGTAGAAACACATGAATGACACGTACGACCCAAATCAAGAGGTTTTAGAGGATCTTCATCTTTTCAAACAGAATCCTTCATGATTCCTCTAACTCATATAAGTTGTTTTCTATTGGATCAGTCATTACTGTTTAAAATATTAATAAGGTTCTTTCAGCAGACGCCTGCTTTTTAAAAATCTGTTTCTACCAAGAGACTGTATAAAATTATATATAGTTTATTATATTATATACAGTCTATGTTTCTATCACTGCACTAGAGATTAAATATAACATGTATGTAATTTTATACATTTATACAATTATATGGTTCTAATAAATGTAGTGCAGGTTTTATTAGGTGGTTACAGCACAAAATATTTAATGATGGTAGAATAGAAAACTAAAGGAAAACAGCTGCACTGACTGCTGCTAGTTAGCTGTTAGCCAGCGAGGTAGCCTTAGCTAAACCTAACCTACCAGCTTTATGTATTTCCTACAATTAAAAAATGAATTCTGATGCTACAAACTCTTAGTAACTGAGCTTTTCAACCCACATAAATAAGACAATATCTAAAAAAAATCCAAATATTTCTATGTGAAGCTAACAGCGGTATACAACATTAGCTTGCGGTAGCATTAGCTGATTGATCAATTAGTCGGTGAATCGACGAGCGGCTTCAGCTGCAGTTGGTTATGTTGATTTATTTTGTCTGTAAAGTAGCTCACTGTCAGATAAATGCAGTAAGAAGTAGCTCAGATTTAACCTGAGTAATGATACTTGGTGACTTTCCACCACTGCGTTGCTGCTCGTCTTTGTGAATTTGCAAATACTGTTTGTTCATGTTTGCCATCACAGTTATGTGTGTTTCATCCTAAATTAACTGTCCTGACGTAGCAGCACTAATCATAATTAATGCAGTTTTAAGCAGAGCTACACAGTTCATCACCTTGGCGTAAGTCAGAGGCTCGCTTGATGTGTACGTCCCAAGTGTTGCGACTCCACTCTGAAAAATTGCCCTCTGAAACAGTCCTTTGGCTTGTGGAGACAGAGTCTGTTCAAAATGAAGCAAACATGTAAAACTGGACATGATAAATATACACCTATGAAAAGTATTCACCGTGTTGAGACGGTTTTGCCTTTTATTGTTTTTTAACATTAAGTGATAGTTATTTTAATCTGTTTTTGATAAAATGTTGAATTGGAGACTCCTATATGTCAAACTGAAAACACATTCAGTTATTAAAAAGATAAAAGTAAAATCCTTTAAAGTGTCCTCAACAACTGAGTGACCAACCAAGAAAGAGACTAGTGAGGACTAGTGATGATGTGAAGCACGGTGGTGGCAGCATCATGATG